GCTCCTTCCCACCCAGCTCCCCCGAAACCAGTTCCCACGCCGGGCTGGGCAAGGCACACCTCCACTCACCGTACTGGCAGTTATTGCCGTAATAACCTGGGGAGCAAGTGCAGATGTAGCGGCCGGGACGAATGTAGTTACATGTCTGCCGGTTCCGACAGCTCCGGTCCTCGCAGGAAAATGAGTCTGGGGGGGGTGTGGAACAAGCAAGCAAGTGATAAGTGGGAGAGGGGCCGTGATGGCCACTGGAGCATTGGGGGGACAGTCCCTGGCCTGGTTTGTCCCAGGGCACAGGCAGGAGCAGGCACCTGTCTCGCAGCGCTGTCCAACGAAGGGCTCCAGGCACACACAGGTGTAGTTATCAAGCAGGTCGACGCAGTGCCCGCCGTTCAGGCATGGGCTGGACTCGCACTCGTTCACCTCTGCAAGATCAGGTGGGGAGCGGGGGATCAGGCCATGCGCAGGCACTGCCGGCTCACCCACTGCCTCCCAGCCTGGATGATGCTCAGGAGGTGAAAGCAATGGCCAGAAAAAAAAACAAAAACCAAACAAAAAAAAAATATATCAGTGCCATCAACAATGCCGAGCGCTCCCCTCCCAAAACTAGGGCCAGGGGTGAAGCAGAGTGGGAAGGCAGCTTGCAAAGGCATGAAGCATCACCATGTCCCCCGCCCCATGCCTGCTCCTGCCACCCACCTGTTTGGCAGTCCGCCCCTGTGTATCCCGGCTAAAACCGTCCTGTTCGCCCCCGGGCAGCTCCCGCCGTTCTGGCACACTCTGCTCTCACAAGGTGACTCTTCTGCAGTGGGATACCAAAAAAAAGATTAAAAAAAAAAAAGAGCAGGTGGGGATCAACCCAGGCACATCCTCTGCACACACAGTGATGCCAGGGCCAGGCAGACGCGTGGTTCAGAGCCACCACCGCACCCTCAGCGGCTGCGTCCCAGCCATGGCTCTTCCCAAAACCCAAGGGCAGCTCAGCCCTTCCATCCCCTTACGCCTCTTGGATGCCAGCGTGCAGTGCTGG